ATTTATGAATATAAGTTATTACCTTGTATAATATTAATATTGCCAATGACCGTTCGCTTTGCGACCCCTTCTTTGACTCTCAATAAACATTTTGTGTGTTTTGCGATAGTGCCTTGTCAGATCTTTTTGAAGTCCAAACAAAGCTGGACATTTCGAACACTGAAATCTTTTGTAATGCACACGATGGATATGATCATCTACTTTCTTTGTAGTATCAGCTTTGTAGTCGCAGGAAGAACATAAAAACATTGGGGTTTCAGATTCACAGCCTATAATTGGTTGTACTAAGTTTGTTGAAGTCAAACGAGGCTGAGGGACACCGACTCCCTCACCTGTCCATTGCATGTTAATGTCTTCGTTGGTACACATGCCTCTACTTGTAGAACTTGTTTGTGAGCGGTCTACTGGAGCTGAATCCGCATGTGGTACAGTTAGAGATGTTGAAGCTGATCTAGAATCAGAGGACAAAAGTTTATGAGGGTGGATGGTTATTGTTCTTAAGCTTGAACCTACTGGCACTCCACCCAGGAATCCACTAGGCTGAAAGTCACTCTTATCACCGCAATCATCACCTGGTGAATTCCTATACTGATCAGCTTCATCCACTTCGCAAAGTTCATCCTTTATAAACTTGGTGGAATAACCCGTGTCAGTAACAGAATTAGACATTTTGCGATAACTACCATGCCTATTACTAGTGCAGGACTCTTTAGATGTCTCACCAGAACTTTCATAATCAAAAGGTTCAAGTTTGATGACCCCAGAAACTTTATCGTTTTCTACATACTTTTCAAGGTTTTTTGCTGTGCTATTTTTGTGATTATCTGAGAAGCTTGCATTAACACTTTGCATATCAGGGTTGTCAAGTCCTTTGCCGGAGGTTTTTGTACTGCTGATCAAAATGGTGTCACCTCCAGTTACAGTAGCATCCATATCAGTAGGGTCATTATTGTTCATGACAGTATAGGATGGTTTTATGGAGGGACCGGGTCGTCCAGGTGGCTCCCTTTGGGGTCGCTTGTAAACTCTACAAGATCTCAATGACTTGTAATGTCGTTGTAAATCTTTCTGAAGTCCAAACCCCTTGTCACAACTCCTACATTTCCACGGTCGCAGATGCACACGCACTCGATGGTGAAGAAGGTTACGGCCACATTGCGTGGTGTAGCTACATTCTGAACATGCAAGTGTTTCTGAATTTTCTCCTTGCAACTGTACTGAATCCTTATTTATCTCTAAATCTGTTACACGGTTGTCTTCTTCCCCATAAGGATTCATTTCACTTGCCACAGAATGTTCATAGGCATGTTCTAAAGGCGAGTGCCACGATGTTGGAGATAAACCGTTCTCATCAACATCACAGAGATTGTTACCATCATTCTTGTTATCATCTGGATCACTCTCTACTTCAGTCAGGGTTATCACCTGTACATCCCTGTAACGCATATCTTCAGCTTCCTGATCTTCATCATCATTACGACACTGCCGTTCATTTGCATGGTAGTTTTCATGATTATTTCCGTCATTATTATTTCTCATATCAATACTAGGTATGTCATCTGATGACGGACTGATTGTAGCATGTGATACTGTTTCTACTTCTTGAGTACTCAAAGACATGGTGTGATGTATGCGTGTTCTTTTCAACCCTTCTTCACGTTCTTGTGGCCGTGTTATTTTCCCGTGGGGAGGTCTAGCACCAACATCAAATTCATTCAACACTTTGGAATAAAGCACCAGTCCCGATAGCAGATCATGAACAGTTTTCATCGTCTGCCAATTTCCTGCTAGTTTAGGTTGACGATCATGAACAAATACAGCTCCTGTCATGTCACATACCTTCTGTATAACGCTCACGAAAGGAAATGACTGAGTGCAAAGTTCTTGAAACTCTGGAGTAATGTCCGCGTATATATTTGTGAAGACAGCAGACATTTTGACCTTCACTAGTATTTTGCATTAAGCGAAGATTCACGGAAATGATACTTTCTCACACATATAAACTTGTACATTGCTTCCGCAAGCATTCGCCAAATTTCTGACTGACGTCCGTCCGCAGTTAATTTTCGGTATGTCCTGTCAGACAAGAAAGATTTCCTAACAAGGGAGAAAACTCGGTGTAACTGATAACAGGTAGCACACTACAAATTTATAACATGTGATGTACCCTTTGTCATATTTCAGTTCGCATGAGTACGGAATGAGACAATTCAATTTTATTTTGTAATCTTATGTGTGTCTGAAGTATGCTTTGACGTGACAGGCTTATGTGTGTATAATAGTCTCAGTTGTGACAGAAACGTATATATATAATATTACAGGCTTTATAACTTATGTCTCTGGTTGTGACAAGTGTTGGGAGACCGAACAAGTCTTCAAGTTGAGTCACTTTTTGCCATTTTTTTTCGGTTTTAACAAAAAAATATGTCAGAACAAAAAGTTCATCTGAAGAGAAGTATGCAAATGCATTTTGCTTTCTAGCTTTATAAACCATGACTGGTCACTCCAATGTGATGTATTTGTATTACAAAATTGTATAGATGGATTAAATTAATATCAATCTTGCTTCGTGATTTGTATTACTCATAACCTCATTTGAACTGTAAAACAAATTATGAAAATACACATTATATGTAGGTAGTCTAGTATTAATATCAACTATATATTATAAGCTATTCCGGCCATAACAGACGTGCAAACTGCAATGTCCCGTTCATTTGGCAGTTAACAAGGTAAACATTGACGTAACATATCCCACAAGTGAGTCTTTTACAACGTTGACGTTAATGTCGAGATTGTGGAAAACTTAGACATGACAATGACGATTTTTTTCTCGAAGCTTATGATTAAGGATTGTAGATATTTGTGACACAATGATACCGCCTTATAGACATTGCTACATTAACATTATCCTTTATCGATCATTTTTTTTTTAACATTTCTTATTGCGTCAATAACATACTAATAGTACATTTACTTGTTGAAGATCACATGTACATTCGTTCAAAAACAAGATACTTTCCCATTTTTGCCAGATTTTATTCGCTGAATTTTGGGTCAAAATTAATACTTCGATAAGGACTGTTTTGGAATTATTGCGTAGCAGTAGTTTTTAATCAACAGTAGGAATCGGCAGTATGCAGATGTTTAAACTCGTGAACTGGTGAACATTTTTAAAAGTGCCAAACAGGAAAGTCGAGTTTTTCTTAAAAACAATGTTACATTTATGAAAAACTGCATTAATAAAATATTTTGACAAAGCTATTTTACAAAGGTTTTTACCGTAGAAAAAAACATCATAACATATACTTTTGAGGGAGACTTTTTGTGGTTTTAACGTTATTTCATTGATAATCGGAAGAGGCTGGTAGAGAACACTGTCTTTGGCTATGGGTCGGGGTTCATAAGAGTTTCCAAAGTTAATATGATTTCCTTCCAAAACTTCTCAAAACTGTATCTTCTATCAATTCATGTCCTTTTTTTGTAACTTCCACCATGTAAATCATGGTCATATACAAATAATGGCACGTCCTCATATCGAGAATTGGGGTAGTGACAACAAAACAACCAGGCACAGAAATGAGCATAATCGAAACTATCGATATTCAAGAAATAGCATATTTCACAGTGGGATAATTATAATAGCGACCGCAACACTTCGTCGGCCTGCGTCTTTGGAAACCATGTGTAGTCAGATTGTCCGTCAAAAGTCAACATCTTTTACAGAAATAATGATGTTCAGAGCAATCCCCCAGACGCCGAATCAACTGCGACATGTACACACCGAAGGTTGGGAAAGCAGATATGCTGCTTTCAAGAAAAGGAAAGCTCACCATCTGAATATCAAAACCGTCCCGCTTACCGTACAGCTTAGTGGTAAGCCATCCATGTTGGTCATATTGTAGTTATCGAGAGAAAAAAATATGAAAAAAGACAACTGGACATTTGCTTTGGCGACCAAAATAAATCGGCTGCAATCGTTGTATAACTTGGAAATGTTTCTCCCTTTTTAAAAAAAATGACTTTTCCGTTTCCTGACTTCTCACCTGGCAATGCCACGACTCTCGCCTTGGTGTTGATTTTTCGCCCTAAAACAAGAACTCGAATATCGAATCAACTATACCATGTAAACACCGTAGGGAGGGGAACATATATGTTACTGTCAAGGAAAGGAAAGTTCAATAACGAAAAATTGAGTCATCACAGTTACCGTGACTAACCTCTGTATCCTTCCTTGCTGTCTAAAACTGATTAACTTATCTGCAGAAACATTGTCGTCAATAAAATTTGAGACTTATTTCACATTCAAACGCCCTCTTTCTCATCCACTCACAACTCAATCATCCACTCATAACTCAATCAACTACTCTTTTGATCGCTAATTGGTTATATCTGTCATAACTCATAGTATACGGCGCGTGAAGCGAATTCTTATTTAATAGTTTATGTTTTCCCTCAAAAACACAATGCTAACGCATATGGTTTCTGAATTGTTATATTTGCATACGTCTTGCAACGATGAAATGCATGTTTTAAGTACCTCTTTATAGTTATAGCAACCTTTCCTAATTATTTCTAATTACACCTATGAAATCTTCGATGGTTAATTAATATATTTAGAGTTTTACCTATCTAGTTACACTGCCAGCAGTAAGTTTTGTATATAGAGGCTAATATCAATAATGGTTGTGTGTTATTATTTGTGTCTTTAATTAGTGGGTGTATTAACTTGTGTGTGTGTAAGTACACGAATAACATGTGTGTTTAAGGTTATTTTTCCGACAGATAAATTTCATAACAAAAAGTTATCCGCTTCTTCTTCTTCAGAATCTAATTATTTCTCGGTATATGTACTTCACCGCCCCTTCCAAAGACCACTTCATATGTTTATGACAATTTTTTTCTTCAATATTTTAATTAACCACATACAAGAACATCTAACACGTGTAAAGGGAGGTAACGCTAGCTTATTTCTATACGTAAAGCAAAGATACCGGAAGTAAAAACGAAGTAGCAGCTGGGATAATTCTGCTGACCAAACTAAGGCTCTACAGCAGTTGTGTGTCCTCGACGTCCGATATATAGAATGACATACGTTCAGGAATAAGGGACAGTACATTTAAAGGTAAGTTACACTACTGTAACTGGGTTCTCTGCTGATACAGAGCGGTTCGGACTGGTAAATGATAAAATGCAGCTGATCATATAAACGCGGCTAATGCAGTGCGGCTATTCATTTTTGTATGTGTATTATAGTATGTAAGCTTTGTAGCATCTGAAAACGCATGTTAAATGAAAATCATTTTTTATGCTTGAAGATAAAATCTCCAGTTGCGTCGACATGCCACGTTCTGAAAAACGCCCTACTTTCATTTTAGATACATATAATGTGGGCCCCCTACAGAATCGCGGTTTTTCCTCATTGTTTTCGACTGAGAGGACATGAAAGGGACCAAAATTATTTGCGTAAGAATTGTTCCTGCTGCCCCCATTGCATGATCTTAAGAGCTAGGCGACTAAATTACGCACACAGCCATACACTACACGCATGCATCTTGCACACAGGGGAGGTCGTCCTTAGCTGACCATAGCTGTTGATAGGACGTTAAACAATACTAAACCAAACCAAACCCTTTTGATCGTTATCGCGTCATATCTTTCCCGGTTTCTTCCCTTACGAGAACGGCGCTAATCCCAAAACAAACAAACATATCTGTTATCAGCTTCTGTTTTTTTCATCTCTGTATTTGCGTTCTACACGTAGATAAGAGGAAATTTGATAACTTGTAAACATATCATATATGAATTGTGCAGTACAACTTTGGAAACTACCACATATATACTTTGTACCTATGTACTTTGTAAATTATTAACACAACTACTATTCTAGATACATTTCTATTATACTGACCTACAATACAATAACAGGACTACCACTACAATACCACTACAATACAACTACAATACCACTACAATACAACTACATTACCACTACAATACCACTACAATACCACTACTATCATATACCACTACACTACCACTACAATACCATTACATTACCACTACATTACCACCACACTACCACCACAATACCACTACACTACCACTACAATACCATAACATTACCACTACATTACCAATACAATACCACTACATTACAACTACAATACCATTACATTACCACAACATTACCACCACAATACCACTACACTACCACTTCACTACCACTACAATACCATAACATCACAACTACAATACCACTACAATACCACTACATTACCACTACATAACCACCACACTACCACCACAATACCACTACACTACCACTACCACTACATTACCACTACAATACTATTACATTACCACTACACTACCACTACACTACCACTACAATACCACTACATTACCACTACCTTGCCACCACACTACCACTACATTACCACTACACTTCCACTACCATACCACTACATTACCACTACATTACCACTACAATACCACTACAATACCACTACATTACCACCAGAAGACCACTACATTACCACCACACTACTATCACAATTCCACTACACTACCACTACAATACCACTATATTATCACTACAATACCACTACATTACCACTATAACACCACTACATTACCACTACATTACCACCAAACTACCACTACACTACCACTACACTACCATACCATAACATTACCACTACAATACCACTACAATACCACTACATTACCACTACAATACCATAACATTACCACTACAATACCACTACATTACCACCACAAGACCACTACATTACCACCACACTGCTATCACAATTGCACTACAATACCACTATATTATCACTACAATACCACTAAATTACCACTACAATACCACTACATTACCACCAAACTATCACCACAATACCACTACACTACCACTACATTACCACTACCATACCATAACATTACCACTACAATACCACTACATTCCACTACAATACCATAACATTACCACTACAATACCACTACATTACCACTACAATACCACGACATTACCACCACAAGACCACTACATTACCACCACACTACTATCACAATACCACTACATTACCACTACATTACCACCAAACTACCACCACAATACCACTACACTACCACTACATTACCACTACACTACCACTACCATACCATAACATTACCATTATATTTACAATACCACTACATTACCACTACAATACCACTACATTACCACTACAATACCATTACATTACCACTACATTACCCCCACACTACCACCACAATACCACTACAATACCACTACACTACCATCACACTACCACTACATTACCACTCCAATACCACTACACTACCTCTACAATACCATAACATTAACCACTACAATACCACTACACTACCATTACACTATCACTACAATAGCACTACACTACAATACCACTACAATACCACTACAATATCCCTACACTACCACTACATTAACCCTACACTACCACTACACTGCCACTACAATACCCCTACACTACCACTTTACTGCCACTACAATACCCCTACAACCTTTTACTTGTACTAGTGGTAGCGCGCTTTACATTCGAGACAGCGTAAGCGATTAACATACATGTAAGTTGGAAAATTATTAGTATTAAGTAGGTAGTGTTCATAAATAATTAGTGTTGATAGTATAAAGGTACCAGGAACAGTGTCAAAAGTAGCGTTGTAGAATAATAGTATACTGAAACATAGTAACAGTGTGGAAAGAATATTACTAGTGTAAGTGTCAGAAGTATCGTTGTAGAGTAGCAGTGGTGATGGTAGTATTAAAAATAGTATACTGAAACATAGTAACAGTGTGGAAAGAATATTACTAGTGGAATTGTCAGAAGTATCGTTGTAGAGTAGCAGTGGGGATGGTAGTATAAACAACAGTATACTGAAACATATTAACAGTGTGGAAAGAACATTACTAGTGTAAGTGGCAGAAGTAGCGTTGTAGAATAATAGTATACTGAGACATAGTAACAGTGTTGAAAGAATATTACTAGTGTGAGTGTCAGAAGTATCGATGTAGAGTAGCAGTGGTGATGGTAGTATAAACAATAGTATACTGAATCTATTGATAGTATAACAACATTGTTATAGTTGATTGGATGGTAGTGGTAAAGTAGTCCGATAGTAGTGCTAGAAACATCTTGAGAAGTATAATCGAAGTTTAATATTAGTTTTTAAAGATCAGAAGTGCTAATTTTGTATATAGAAACCTATAAAAATAGTGTTGGTAGTAGTGTTCATGATAATGTTGGTTTAAAAGTTAGGGGTTAAAACATAGTGGTTGCAGTATGACAGTGAAAAACTCAAAAACATGTTTTATGTCTGAAAAGATTACAGTAGGTAGGTAATAATTAAAAAACAACATGATGAAGCTGATAGAGGATAGTGATCTTGACATTAACAGTGCTTCCTTGAAAATTGCCAAAACATGTTGCACATAAAATTAGGGTAGTTAGGGTAACCGGAAACAAACAACACTTTTCTTTGGCAAGATATAGTTAGTTGTAATGGAATTGGTTAAGCAGTATTGCTTGCAATCGTGTCGAGTAATACTTATCATCAGTGGTGTAAGAGGTGTTTGTATGAGGAGTATATAGTGTCAGTCAGTGTCAGTAGTAAATTGTATAAGTTTTAGTAATGGCAAGTTATACTTTTATAAACAACAATGTCTACCGATATATAGAAAGATACAAAATGACGAATAAAATGTGATCCATTAAAATAATTTCTCTGCAAATATGAAGATTATTTCTCTTGCATGTTTCCTGGAATATAATTCCCGTACGTTCAAAGTACGTGCTATTTATTGTAATTTGTTATAATTCTGTGACATATATCGTAGGCACATCGAATTCCGCCAAGTTTGACGCTTGGCTTATGGTTGTCTGTTCCACTGTTTGGTTATTAGTACTGTTATCGAATTGATTTGTTTATTTCAGAAATGGATTTTGGTGAGTTGCTGTTCAGGAAGTTGGAAGAGACAGGACTTGATGCCAGCGACGTGGACGATAAGGAGGATGACTTTTACAGAATCATGTCCCATACAATGTATGGGGATGCAAACAATCATGCCAAATGTAGAGAAAGTATCTGTAACTTTCAAATGGAACCAGAGAATATACACTATTTTGAACTATTTTTGCAAAGATCCTTCACCGAAAGTCCACACGATGTATCCACACAACAGGCATTTTTAGATGACGTTAAAAAAAGCAAATCGTTTAACACACCTCCTACTGCACGTGAGATATACGCGGCCTGCGAGCTTATCGGACGACCCATAGAGGCTTTGGTGTGTGACTTAAGCGGGGACGATTCGGTCCCACCACGGCTTCAGTGGAGGCTTTTTGTCCCTGTCCTTGGAAGAGTGGAGCCAAACATAAATCGCAACCTCAAAATGGTGATCTTGTTGACTACACATAAGACAATATTTCATGGATTCAAACAAATATTAGAAGAATCTGCCTGTTCGCCCAGCCGAAGTTCAGAAGCTATGACTAACCAAAGCATCATTTGTCCAATGTCGGAAAGCACCACCAATCAAAGTCAAGTCAAACATAGGCGTTGCTATGGCAGTAAGTTTTCTAACGAGTTATCTGTGTCTCCTTCGTCTGCAGAGGAAGAAAACTCTTCTGGTGTTAGTGAATGGAAGCCGAACACAGATAACGACACATTCTACCAGTGTCTAAGTCAGGAAATGTACGGCGCCAGTTACCATTGGAAACGAGTTAAGAATTTAATCTGTGCATTAGAAGAAGAGGAAGAGAGCAGCGATGTGTTTGCGGCTATTATCACAGACAAAGATTCAGACAAGGATCAGGCACTTAAAGAACACATTTTGAAAATAAAAGGAGAAAACAGCAAACCGACGAAAACCGAGATATATGGTGCTGCAAGTCTTCTTAATGCGCCTGTTTATGTTCTAAGTTTCATCAATGGTGCAGACACGTGGGAAATCTATCCACCAATCAGAAATAGGCTTCAGAACGTGCGACCAATGGATTCCTTTGTGGCGTTGAAATGTGCCAATTTGACCGATATGTACTCTGTTGTACTGACATTTGATGCAGGCGGTCACAATCTTAGAGAGACGGCGCCCAAGGTTCCTGGAAACCTGTTCACGATTAGAGAGCAGATCGCAAGTATTGCACGTGATATGTTGGGTAAGTCATACGAAACGTTATTAACAGATCACGCTGTGGTCATGCTTTTCAAAAGCAAAATGTCACACTTTGGTAAAACTTCAAATACGTGCTAGCGTGTTCAGTGTTTCGTTCCGTTTCTGCTCAAGATTCTGTAATGTTTGATTAATTAATGTTAATAAAGTATGTTTGAATGAAAATTTTCATTGTCTTGCGTGATAAGTTACTCAGATGACAGTGCTTTTTGATTCTTCGATTCCCTTTAGATTGAACTCATAATACATGTTTTTTTTCTCTCTTCAACTTAGTTTAAGATAACTTAATCACTATTCTGGACTCTCCTTTCTACAGCAAGAAGAGTACCTTGTTGTGAGGAACATCATCATTTACCACACATGTACTCTTCAGGGAGGGATAGAGTCCGTCAGACGAGGAGGAACCCATTCACCGACCCGCCATCTAACGTTCGGAATGTACTCAAACTTCTTCGCTCAGAAGGTCGGGAACTGGAGAAGATCGAAGCCTACGATTCCACATTGTTCCGCTGCATCAGTAAAGAGGTCTTTGGAACGGAGGAGGAGTACAAGTCTATCCGCGACAACGTTTCTGATGCCTGTGCACAGGTTGATGGAGACCAAATGCCCTCGCTGATGAATATGAGCGAACATGACCAAGGGCGGGTTGTTCAGGCGCTAGCAGATTGGTTACGTGTTTCTGTATATATCTTCACGCAGGTGGGTGGGAGCAGTGGGGTGCAGTACCAGTGGTGCCCTTACCATCCCTCTAGATCGCAGACCGAGGACGACTCCATCCACTCCCTTGGGTGTCGTTACTACATTACGCTTTTCTATGATATGCGAAGCCGGAAGTTCGACAGGGTTATCCCGATCAGTGGGTGTAACTGCCAAGTCATGTCGCCAATCCCACTTTTCATGGAGACAAATGGTAAATAATCTTATCATTGTGAATGTTTTATATTTTGTTGGAATGTTAAAACGTGCGGCTTATTTTTTTTATTTGTGTCCCGGCGGTTTCATTTTTGTTGTTAACTCTAAGTTTATGTTCTAATATACACACCTTGCTCGGTTTCAGGAGATCTCCAAAATCCTGGCGTCGTCAGGGTTGCTGAATCTGATCGACACATGACCTTAAAGCAACGTCTACCGTCACCGTTCATTGAGGAACAGATTACAAGTGAGGTACGAAGGCCATTAATGGCACGTCAGTTCTCCGAGTGTTACAGCGTCCTGCACGAACGTCAGGACATGTCGGATCGATTTATTGACTCCATTTTTCAGGACTCGCATTCTTTCTATAGATGCCTCAGCAAGGAGCTGTTTGGATCACAGGAACACTTTGGGCTCATCCGTAAACGTCTTTTAGATGTCATAGAGGAAACGCGTCCCGAACTTGAGTATGATCTAAGACATCTCGCTCTGCTGCTGGGTAGGTCTGCTTTAACGGTGGATGAACTGAAACAAAGAATCTTGGACCTAGAAAATGCAGGTAAGGAGGAGATTTACCTTACCAGTGTTGTGTTTGCAACTTCCATTTATTTGCTTAGTAGAGAAGGTAGCCAAGAGATAAACAATTTTACATGGAAACACTACTCCTGGAATGTCATGGCGAAAACCTGCGTCAGGCACGGCGCTGACAAGCGTAGTGAGGCGATGTGCCCGTCCAACGGCAGATATTACATTTCTCTTTTCCAGAGTTCTGCTGGCCATTACGATCGTGTGGTTCCCAAATATGAATTGTGTAACTGTGTATTGACACTCCCTGGGGACGCAGAGATTGGCCCCCTGGACATCGGTCAAATCAAACTTGACATTCCAAAACTGAGCTTTGGTAAGTACTATTAAGTGATATATGCTGAGATGATATGATCTTGATTCATATAAGGGACGTTTTGATAATGAGTAATACCTTTCTTCGTACGACATTTTACCTGCTAAAGACCATGTGTGATACTGGTATTGTAGGCCGTAATTCACCAGATTAGCAATTACATGTATGTAACTGAGTCGACGTGGAATTCTTGTTTTTGTTTACGTGGTTGGATACTTGACAAAACTAGCGAACTGTTCGTTATATTGATATTGTTATAGGTATGATATAGCCCGGTCTAAATGTTCGAATTCCAAAAGAGGAGGGTTGCTGATAACTCTAAAATAAAATAATTCTCAAACAGTACAAAACGTTTAAAATCACCCATCAGCATATTAAGGTCATTCAGTAAAAATGGCCAGCAATAGGTAGTGACAGTACACGCATGGAATTAAAAGTAGTTAAAGATAAAGAATTGTAATGGAATTTCGGTTTCTTGCATTTTTTCGAAAGCATATTTCACAAACGAAACCCGTTTTCCTCTGAGTACTTTAGTTTACCCCCACCATCAAATGTTTGCTCGTCCTTAAATGACCAAAGCTGTTAGAAGGAAGTAAAACACAAATAAACCAAATCAAACCATAGCTGATGTCATGTTTTAACTTCACATTAAATGACACTGGCGAAGGCGAGATGGTCTTTCACCTTACACANCGAAGCGCGTAGCGCGAGCAGGGGGAGGGTACGGGAGTGGGTCTTCAAAATAATAACAAAATATTATTTTTGTGGTCAATTGGGTGACGTTATCAATAGTGACGTCACTTGGCACAATAACAGTTGCATTCGGGGTGGCCGAATGTGCCCCGGCAAAAGGGGCCGAACGTGCCCCAAATTGATATTTTCATAAAAAAAACATTGATTGTCTGTGTCCACTGTGCCATACTCGGAGTCGTTTGCGCCAGGCGTGAGTTTCTCAATTTACTCAATCGAGCAGTTTAGTTCCTCCTTGAACTGTCCATTAATGCAATGGACATTTCTAAACTTCATACATTTTTGTACTAACTATTTACACTGTATCATATCTGAGGAATGACATATGTATACTATATATTCAAAACTTAAACTCCTCTTTATAGTATCAGCAAGAAAAAATAACGTCATGAAAACCTATACTTGTCAAAATCATGTGCAAGCCCGGGCTTATTGGCTTACATGGTAGCTACGCGCCTGCACATGTATTGGGTATGTTAAAGCAGATTGCATTATTTAACAAACGTATTTTTGTTAAGAGAACTGGGAATACTATTATCGTAATTTTAGACAATTTGTTTCTACATTTCTATTAACAGAGGAGAGGAGTGTCCTTGTTACACGAAACGTCGACCTTTGTCTGACCAAGCTGAAGATAACACTAAACACGTGGCTGCTGGTGAGCGAGTTGACAGAAGAGCTGTGCCATCAGATTGTTTCAGAGCTAGAAAACCGACGTTTTGGGGTCAACATTGCCACCATAGTGGGTGGATCCACGGGCCTAATAGGGGCGGGGCTAGCACTTGCTGGTGTTATTGCTGCACCATTCACAGCCGGATTGTCGCTTGGGCTCACAATAGCAGGGGCTGCAGTTGGAGGAGTGGGCGGGGTTACAATGGCCGGGTCAAAGATCACGGAGGTCGTTCTCGGTAGTAAGGCGACCGATGTCCTCAAAGTCAAACAGTCTTTGCTTAAAACAAAATCGGATGATTTGAAGAAAGTCATAACAGAGTTTCAAAAGAGTGTTCAGACAATGGAGGTTGACGTAAAGGAACTTCTGCGTGAAGATAATCTTCAGGTCTTAGACACAGCCATCTTTTCAACAATCAGCACGCTGGTCCGTGCACTACATCACCTTTACGTCATCCCCATGACCGTTCTGAGGGTGTCGTTTCAAAGCGTTGCTGTGATATCCGCCATCCTCATCCCTCTCGCCGTCTTAGTTGACGTGGGCTCAATTGCACACGCGGGATGGAACCTATCCAAGAAGTCTAGGACTAATGTGTCCGAGGACTTACGGCGGATAGCGATCCTCCTCAGGTCGTGTAGGATACAGCTGGACACGTGGGCTTACGGCAACGAAGAGGCAGATGACCGCTGATGAGACGTAGATGGACGACCGCTGACGAGACGTAGATGGACGACCGCTGACGAGACGTAGATTGACGACCGATGGTGAGACGTAGATGGACGACCGTTGATGAGACGTAGATGGACGACCGCTGACGAGACGTAGATGGACATCCGCTGAAGAGACGTAGATGGACGATCGCTGACGAGACGTAGATGGACGACCGCTGGTGAGACGTAGATGGACGTCCGTTGACGAGACGTAGATGGACGATCGTTGACGAGACGTAGATTGACGACCGATGGTGAGACGGAGATGGACGACCGTTGATGAGACGTAGATGGCCGACCGCTGACGAGACGTAGATGGACGCCCGTTCACGAGAGTAGATGGACGACCGTTGACGAGACATAGATGGACGACCGATGGTGAGACGTAGATGGACGACCGCTGATCAGACGTAGATGGACGACCGCTGACGAGGCGTAGATTGACGACCGATGGTGAGACGGAGATGGACGACCGTTGATGAGACGTAGATGGCCGACCGCTGACGAGACGTAGATGGACGCCCGCTGGTGAGACGTAGATGGACGACCCCTGACGAGACGTAGATGGACGACCGCTGCCGAGACGTAGATGGACGACCGCTAATGAGCCGTAGATGGCCGCCCGCTGGTGAGACGTAGATGGACGACCGTTGAGGAGACGTAGATGGACGACCGCTGGTGAGACCTAGATGGACGTCCGCTGACGAGACGTAGATGGACGGCCGTTGACGAGACGTAGATGGACGACCGTTGGTGAGACGTAGATGGACGACCGCTGATCAGACGTAGATGGACGACCGCTGACGAGGCGTAGATTGACGACCGATGGTGAGACGGAGATGGACGACCGTTGATGAGACGTAGACGGACGACCGCTGACGAGGCGTAGATGGACATCCGCTGATGAGACGTAGATGGACGCCCGCTGACGAGACGTAGATGGACAGCCGCTGAAGAGACGTAGATGGACGATCGTTGACGAGACGTAGATTGACGACCGCTGGTGAGACCTAGATGGACGTCCGCTGACGAGACGTAGATGGACGGCCGTTGACGAGACGTAGATGGACGATCGTTGACGAGACGTAGATTGACGACCGATGGTGAGCCGTAGATGGACGACCGCTGATGAGACGTAGATGGACATCCGCTGGTGAGACGTAGATGGACGACCCCTGACGAGACGTAGATGGACGACCGCTGGGGAGACGTAGATGGACGACCGTGGACGAGACGTAGATGGACGATCGTTGACGAGACGTAGATGGACGACCGCTGCCGAGACGTAGATTGACGACCGCTGGTGAGACGTAGATGGCCGACCGCTGCTAAGACGTAGATGGACGACCGCTGACGAGGCGTAGATTGACGACCGATGGTGAGACGGAGATGGACGACCGTTGATGAGACGTAGACGGACGACCGCTGACGAGGCGTAGATGGACATCCGCTGATGAGACGTAGATGGACGCCCGCTGACGAGACGTAGATTGACGACCGTTGACGAGACGTAGATGGACGATCGTTGACGAGACGTAGATGGACGACCGATGGGGAGACGTAGATGGACGACCGTTGACGAGAGGAGATGGACGACCGTTGACGACACGTAGATTGACGACCGATGGTGAAACGTAGATGGACGACCGCTGACGAGACGGAGATGGACGACCGCTAATGAGACGTAGATGGACGACCGCTGGGGAGACGTAGATGGACGACCGTTGATGAGGCGTAGATGGACGACCGCTGACGAGACGGAGATGGACGACCGCTAATGAGACGTAGATGGACGACCGCTGGTGAGACCTAGATGGACGTCCGCTGACGAGACGTAGATGGACGGCCGTTGACGAGACGTAGATGGACGACCGATGGTGAGACTTAGATGGACGACCGTTGACGAGAGTAGATTGACGTCCGTTGACGAGACATAGATTGACGACCGATGGTGAGACGTAGATGGACGAACGCTGATAAGACGTAGATGGACGACCGCTGGTGAGACGTAGATGGACGACCGCTTGTGAGAATTGAAATATTCGAAACCACGGATAAAACACAGGATGCCTTAGACAATGTACAGAGGTACTAAAAGCTACTCACAGATAAACTGAATTTGTTATAATAATACATAGTGAAATCACACTGTGTACCGTATCAATAATATTCATGCATAATACCCTCGTTATAATTTTATGAAAACATAGATATACTTTTGTAAATTGAATAAGGCTTTGTTTGAGAGTGTTTATGTGATTGGTCTACTGATTTTTTTATGCATAACATACGTAATATTGATGTTGTTATGTTCCTGACGATTTTTTTTACTTTGTTTTGTTTTGTTTTGTTTTGATTTGATTTTTGTTTTACAGTCGCTCTGTTTGCTCAGTCTTAAATTTAGCCAAGAAAGAACCGGTGTTGTGATTTAGACCCATAAATGGTATGTTATTGGTATCATATCAGATGCATTTTATTATAAATGTGGCATATCAAAAGGAATACCGAACTGTCGTTATTCGAACTCAAATTCGATTAATCAATGTTTTATCATGACGGTGATGTTGCACTGTACTTTAGCATGTCCATCATTACTTCATTCCTTATTAAGGGTCACTGTGTTTCTTTTACAAATTGATGTCTGTGATTTATATCTTTATTTACGTTCAACTGTCTTATATATTTTCACATGAAACTGTTATTTTTATTCCATATAGAGCCACCTGCCATATAAATATACATCTTTTTAGATTTACCTGTCAGTTACATCAATGTCTCCGTTTACCTTTAATTTGCTACATGTACATTTTATCTCATCTTTCTTATAAATGCATATCGATTTCAGATTTACCTGTCATTTACATCAATATTTACCACAACCTGTCATTTACATCAACATTTACGACAACCATTCATTTTCATCAACATTTACGACAACCTTTTATTTTCATCAACATTTACAACAACCTGTCATTTTCATCAATATTTCACTCACATGACACGTCATATAATACTTTATTTCTTTGAATTTCACTTGACGTTTGTGCGGTTATCAATTAAATCGAGGTACAACTGGTATGTGAACTTACAGATGCACGTGCTCTTCATGAAAGTGTCCTGCAGTTAGGGTTCATTGTGTTTATATTGTTATGTAAAACATTGTCAGTGCTTTAAACAACAGCCTAAATGTGGCACGTACAAAGAGCCCCGTGTTACATTCTATTTTTATGATATTTGTTTTGTAAGGAGTATTTAATATCTATAGTCCTTTATTAATTTCCATTAATTGGTCGATTGTTTTATTATTTTTGACAGTTTAAAGTCGTAATAGATTTGATGTTGGTTATGTTTAATATAAACTTTATTTGTTTTACAACAATTATGAGTACTCGGAGAAAACCCACGTGTACGTTGACCCCATTCCTTTTCAAGTCCGATCGGGGAATCGAACCCCGGCCGTCTTGGTAAAAGGCATGCGATTGTCCACTGGTTATGTTTCTTTCTTATGTTTGTACTGATAATTTGGTCTGTCCCATTTATAAGATCATTATTATGAAACATTTTTACTTGGTCAGGTTTCTAGTACATTCCTTTGTTAAACGACGATTTTTGGACGGTTTTAGTGATAATGGTTTTGTAGAACATGCACAAAAAGTGATATTTTATAACCTCTCTGCTTCAAAATATATTCTTTGATTATTTGTCAAATATAGATAGTTGGTTACAAAATGCCTGTGAGGTAAGGTGATGACGTGGCATCCGTCGTTCGTCTTCAATCGTTCATATAAAACGACTTCTTTTTAAGGTACCATGAGATCAATCGTCAAGACATTAGACAATTCCTTTAGATAGAGGGCTTTTGTTCACAGGAACTAAATAACCTTGACATAGTGAAGGTCGCAGTAATAATCTCGATTGAAATGCTAACTTTTAATGAAGCAAGTGGTATTAAGCAAACCTAGTTGGGGTGTTATTTGATACAATGACATGAATGACTTTAAACTCAGTTCAAATATATCACTTTTATGCATATTCAAGTTAGATGTGTTTAATTCTTCAAACGACTTCTTATGTACCACGATGCTTTGGGAAATGATGTTTGACTTGTGGCTTAATGAATGACTTTCAAATGTATCAAAATATGTTAACTAACTTTTAATGTCAGAAGGGTCAGGTGTGTCGAAATCTTCGCTGACATTCGTTTAGAGATTCGTTCGGTGTATAGTCTCTGGTTCATAGATAGTAAACGAGTCGGTATAAGTAATGATATCTGGTTCATAGATAGTCAACGAGTCGGTATAAGTAATGATATCTGGTTCATAGACAGTCAACGAGTCGGTATAAGTAATGATATCTGGTTCATAGATAGTCAACGCGTCGGTATAAGTAATGATATCTGGTTCATAGACAGTCAACGAGTCGGAATAAGTAATGATATCTGATTCATAGACCGTCAACGAGTCGGTATAAGTAATGATATCTAGTTCATAGATAGTCAACCAGTCAGTGTAAGTAATTATACCTGGTTCACAGACAGTCAACTAGTCGATATAAAGCAATGATATCTGGCTTGTAGCTAGTGAGGCACTCGGAAAATGTTATGGTTTTGAAGCTAGTGAGGAAGTCGGTATAAAGAAATTCTATCTGGTGCGTAGCTAGCTACACAGTCGGTATAAAGAAATTCTATCTGGTGCGTAGCTAGCTACACAGTCGGTATACAGAAATGATGTTTTGTTCCAAGCTAGTGAAGCAGGCGGTATAAACTCATTTCGATGTGTTTCATGCAGAGGTATATCGGGCTGTTGAAATTGGAACAATAAATGACATTGAATTAAAGGAAAAAAGAGTCAAATGTGTTTGAAAATGTGTACTATTACGAAGTGAGTGATGCAGGCCCCGATGTTATGTCTCATAAGATACCGGGTACAGAACCCAATTATTGTCTTAGCTTGATGTGTTGCGTTTTGTTATAATTTGTAAGAAAGGAAATTTATTTTCGTATCGTGTACTTCATAAGTATATTTTCGGGTTTATTTGATTAAAATAACTCTCTGCCAAAACAATAAGTATTTCGTGTTATATTTTAACATGCTGTGCATGTAAGTATTTGTTATTTACTGAAGCCAAAGAGTTTCTGTATCACAAATTGTATATACTATAAATTACCTTTGTGCGCTCTCACAGAAATCCCATACAGAACAGTTTTGTAATATGCTGCTAATTTCATCTCGCCACCGTCGTCTCAATGTTACCTGTCCATTCTGTTAGTATAGCTTTTTGACAGACCTATATACTTCAATCATCTTATTGCACCAATGCTGTCTGTCTTAGTACACATTATCCATACTTTCTCTGAGTTTGGTGAGTAGTGACAACACAACATTTAACAAGCATATCACAAACTCCTATACAAAATGTAGGCCAACTGACGTTCAACTTTCTGGAATATCGCCTGCATTGTTTGTGATATTCCTAATTTGCTTTTTGCTTCAAATGTATCAAAATACATTCACCAACTTTTAACGTCAGAAGGGTCAGTTGTGCTCTAATGTCTTTTGGGTAATACAAAATTTTCGACAATGACTTCCGTAGATTGTGTGACCTTCTGTGTTTTCACTTGTCATGTTTTTTTGTTTTTTTTAAAAAAATATATTTACTTTATTTAAGTGATACTGGCTGGACATGTATCTAGACATTCGTCATAGTTCAGCTGTTTGAACATGTGTACATTTGTTCTGAACATCGTTTGGCCAGCATACTTTGTACGAAATACATCTATACAGCTGAAACACACATACATGTATGTACATGGTTCGTTGATGCAAAAACCTACCTTTGTGCGTTTAGTAAGGTTTTGTAATTGGTGAAATTACTCATGAATAAATATCAATGTGCATTAAGACAAATGGTCATTTGCAATATGCTATGTACATATTCATGCGACAGGAATCTTACAGAATCCAAGATGATCAGGAAAATCACATCATATCAAATTATGTTATGGTGGAATCTTAACCAAACCGAGAAAGAATGGTTGTATATTGAACAAAACCGGCGAAACGAAATGGCGGTACACGGCCATATTGATTTATCCCTTCAGCTAAAACTCGACATTTTCGTTCCGCTAAAGCTCATTTTAAAATAGTTTGCTGGTTACAAAGACTTACGGAAGATGGTGGATAGCTCACACGAAGCTGTCATTATACTATAATTGAGTCTTATTCTCCTGATTAATTTTCATTTCATCCAATATAATCGCCTGATATATTCAAAGAAGAGTGTCACATTGACAACAAAAACTACTGTATGCTTATAAAAGAAAAGGAGAAATGTATGCAGATTTCCGTTAAAACAAAAAACATTATGTATGAAAAATGAATGATTTTATTTCCCATCGAACAAGTAACTCCATATTCGTTTCAGAATGACACGTTAAAACTTTAAATCAATGAATATGCAATTGCTAGCAAATAACGTTTTCGTGTCATGCTTTTTCTCTCATCATCATTGTCCAATTACGTCATACACCAGTGTTGAGGGTTGATAGATAAGCGGCACACTCTCCACTACGTCACACAACTGTTTTGTGATGTCATTCTTAACAGCACAAACAACAGCAGCACACTCCGCAGCCAATCAACAGGCCGATAATGATCAGCGCCACCAGGATCGGTACCCACCTGACAAAAGTACATAAATAGTAACACGTGTTACAATGTAGTGGCCATACCTACATTTTATACGATACCTACTTATAGACATACTGCAGCTGGTGTTGCATCAGAAGGCACAATGCTATGACGTCATGACGTTACGGCTGATGAGAACAAGGCATGTTATTTAATGTGAGGTAGTGAACCATATGAAGACCACGAACTCGCTGAATCTATCCTGGTGAAAAATATCCCATATGAAATGAGTCTCTTCTTAAAAATCATCTTTGCAGGATTGAATGATTGTCATATAAAAAACATAAATATAGGAAAACTATCGCACCAATATACCAGTTACTAAAAAGCGTTCAATTTGTTATCTTTAGTCTAGAAAATAAGTGGTTTATTTTCTTTAAATCGAGAAAGATTCTCCATTTATAACTGTAGTGTGTCATATGCCGGAAGATATAAAAGATCAGTCGCAACCTGCGACATTTGAGCGAAAATTGTTCACTGTGATAAAAGCTAAAAGCCTAGCGTCACATTACAAATATAAGAAATAACAAAATCACAAACGGAAGGGAGGAACTATATCCAGTGGTAATACCGCTTACTCGTAATTCCTTGTGATAACGTTCTAAGGCTGTCGCGGCAGAGCGTTACGACTACTCAACATTCTGACATTGTTTCTGTATTGACAAAATGTTGTTATTATTATGTTCATGATAGATCACTCATTATCAGGTACAGCCGCAGGCCGATTTCTACAGTCTCCCTAGATTCACTCATTATCAGGTACAGCCGCAGGCAGATTTCTACAGTCTCCCTAGATCCACTCATTAACAGGTACAGCCGCAGGCCGATTACTACAGTCTCCCTAGATTCACTCATTATCAGGTACACCCGCAGGCCGATTACTACTGTCTCCCTAGATTCACTCATAATCAGGTACAGCCGCAGGCCGATTTCTACAGTCCCCCTAGATTCACTCATTATCAGGTACAGCCGAAGGCCGATTACTACAGTCTCCCTAGATTCACTCATTATCAGGTACACCCGCAGGCCGATTACTACTGTCTCCCTAGATTCACTCATAATCAGGTACAGCCGCAGGCCGATTTCTACAGTCCCCCTAGATTCCCTCATTATCAGGTACAGCCGCAGGCCGATTTCTACTGTCTCCCTATATTCACTCATTATCAGGTACAGCCACAGGCCGATTTCTACAGTCTCCCTAGATTCACTCATTATCAGGAACAGCCGCAGGCCGATTTCTACAGTCTCCCTAGATTCCCTCATTATCAGGTACAGCCGCAGGCCGATTTCTACAGTCCCCCTAGATTCCCTCATTATCAGGTACAGCCGCAGGCCGATTTCTACAGTCTCCCTAGATTCCCTCATTATCAGGTACAGCCGCAGGCCGATTTCTACAGTCCCCCTAGATTCACTCATTATCAGGTACAGCCGAAGGCCGATTACTACTGTCTCCCTAGATTCACTCATAATCAGGTACAGCCGCAGGCCGATTTCTACAGTCCCCCTAGATTCACTCATTATCAGGTACAGCCGAAGGCCGATTACTACAGTCTCCCTAGATTCACTCATTATCAGGTACACCCGCAGGCCGATTACTACTGTCTCCCTAGATTCACTCATAATCAGGTACAGCCGCAGGCCGATTTCTACAGTCTCCCCAGATTCACTCATTATCAGGTACAGCCGCAGGCCGATTTCTACAGTCCCCCTAGATTCCCTCATTATCAGGTACAGCCGCAGGCCGATTTCTACAGTCCCCCTAGATTCACTCATTATCAGGTACAGCCGCAGGCAGATTTCTACAGTCTCCCTAGATCCACTCATTAACAGGTACAGCCGCAGGCCGATTACTACAGTCTCCCTAGATCCACTCATTATCAGGTACAGCCGCAGGCCGATTTCTACAGTCTCCCAGATCCTAACATTTACGAAGTCATGATATCAATGATGCCACATAAGACATTATCTTAAGCCAAATATTATTGCATTTATAGTGTAAATACATAATATCACATTATGACATTATCACATAAATAACATAATAAATGAATTAATGAAACTTAATGTTGGTGGTTTCTCATAAGATAGGTGTACTTTCGGAGCCATTTCAAGGTTTCATTAAAGTCATGTAATGATAAACGATCTATTGATGGCTTCTATGAAATAATCAGTTTTTATTCTAAGGAAGTAACACGAAAAAGGTAGAAATAAAATTATAATGGCGTCAATAGCATAGGGAAACAACCTCAGACCCCGATGTGCATAAAGAACATAATTATTATGGTTTTGCTTCAAAAGATGTTCTGTGTGACTACGCCTGGTTTCTTCGTTTACATAGACTAAAAGGCGTTAATTTGATCCGAGACGCAATACATATATTCTTATATATTCCCTAGAATGTGAGAGACATGGGATTACTTACTCACAATGACAGTGTCGCTTACTCCGAAATTGTTTCTTTGCAAGGACAAATGAAATCACAATATAGTTTTGATTCCATGTCATTGAAATGTCATAATCAAATCATGAACACCAACTGCTTTAAGATGAATTTTGTTTGGTGATTACATATGTGTATTGAGGACCGTTTAAAACTTACATATGGCGAGTGAACCAGTTGACACAGAAGGTAGATCTGTCCCGAGCCGGTGCGCGCAAGAACCAATTGTTACAGCAGCTGTACATGTTACCTTGGATACAGCAGTAATTATCACACCAACGTTCAGTCATAACATGACCTGTGACGTCATAATGCGACCTGCAGCATTCGCCGCCTTCCGTCAGCTTCACTTTCAATGAAAACAAAATACGAATATAAACTTCTCAAAAACTTTGGTAGGCTAAAAAGCATTACATGTGAAAATGTATATCATATGGAGCATTATATAATTAAGGAATGAATCTTGCTTTGGTCGATTTCATGGGGTGATGAATTGAGTTGGTCTTGAAACAGATTTAATGAACTGCGAAGCCGATTATGTTGAATTTGATGCAAGACCAACTCAGTTCATCAACACGTGTTATTTTTCAATAATTGGAACTATTTAAATTCAATTCTGATAGTTTCTCACAGATTTTGGAGCTTTTGCAAGTCTACATATTGACGTAATGTAAACAAATATAGTCTGTCGTGGAAGGATCATTAACAACATGATGGTGTACGCTAATAGTTCAATATAGCCTAATTATAAAAAAAAAATCACGAAAAAACTATTTTTCAATGTCATATTCAAATTTGATCACATTTTCTGACATGTCGTCGCGGAAGAATAATGTCTAGACGCGGTTCGCAGGCTCAGCTTTGAGTCTACTGCAACCATTTTTTTACTAGATCGAAGTGGAGAGCCGCTTAATTTCGAGGTTCTAAATCTTCTGGAATGTGAAGCTGCAGTAATTGAATGTCGATTTAGACAGGAAACCAGACGTGACCTGATAGGACGAAACGATTTGCTTTGGCGGTTGGCTGTTCGACTGCATTTCGTATATGACGGGACCACATTGATGTGTGACCCACGTTGGTTTTGATTTGTACCGGGGTTCATACTGACACAAGAGGCAGAATGGGTAGCTGGAGGGAGAATTTCTAGTATAGGACTTGTCCCTACGGCTAGCAACAGCTGATAATATTCTTGGTATCATTGTTGGTAGCTTGAAACATTTCGTGTGTAGCTTCAATAAATCTTCTTTTGTTGAAAATGTCAAAAGTCCCTTCGCAAAATCTGAAAAATGTCTTCATACGCACGGGCAATGTTAATCTAGTCAAATTCATCGGCAAATGAAAATGTAACATCTGGTAGTTGCATCGAGTCCAACTTGAGTAGAAATTGAAATATTATGTGATATTATGTATTAAATACTCCGGTACAAATTGAATGACAGTATATTTTATATGTAACATTATGTATTACATATAACAAAATATATTTAACATTATACATTGTAGGTGCCCATATATATAATCAAAGGCATTTTGTGACTTTCAGTAATTTGCTTATATCAACCTTTACATCCTTCAATTTCGGTAGCAAAAAAAAAGATCACTTAGGTCAGTATAGTAAGACAATTTATATACAGACAATGAAATGTGCACATATATAATATTTACATATAAAAGTCTTGTTTTATCAGTATTCAAATACATATTTCCCCAAAATTGCTTAAACAGACACGGTATTGCTATTGTCTAAAATCTAATTCCGTGAAACAAAAAAATATCTTGCATTGTAGATCGCTTGTTCAACATCAACTATCTCTGACATTACTAAACAGCATATAGACTTACCTAAAACACAGAGGAGGGCCAATAGCCAGACAATGGAGAATTTCCCTCCGAACATTGTGAACTGTCCGTGCACACTTTACAGAAACATTTATGGTCAGTCATACAGGCGTGGACCACTGATGGTGCGGGATGACGTTCAAACTCATTCTTCATCTCACTTGCTCCGTTTGATGTGTTGCTGTGTTGACCCCCTGCGGGGAGGAAACGCATGTATACGTAGCCGGGGTCATAGTGTTCACATCGGACAGTAACCAGGGGGCGTGATGGTTATAACACGTGACAGGTATACTGTACACTGCTCCTACACAAAGTGATGAGGAAACTTGATCATATTAAAGATGAGCTGGATATAAACAGAGTTTCTCTTTAGTAGGAGATCATTGGTATCCTCGGTGATAGTTAAGCATGTGTACCAGAGCATCTTGATTATGCAGTAGTCCAAATTTGTTTTTCATAAATGATTATCTATAATCGTACGTGTGTTCGCCAAAATCGTATTTGCATGGATGGTCGAGTAAATGAATAATATAAGTGTGATCCTCATTAATAGATGAGTGCGTGTTTCAGTACATAAATATATATATAAGTTCCGTATTACTGATCCAACAAGTATGTCAGTAAAACCCTTCCTACTCCAACGAGATTGATGAACCTTGTCTTGCAGTTACTTTCCAGCTTGGCACACTCGCTATAGTATGAAAAAAATATAAGACACGATTCATCAATCTAATAGAAACTATATATCACATCTATATGTCAAAATTTCTAAGTCTGGTGTTAGGGCCAGAGGAAATTCGGGCTAGTTTATTGTATACCCTAGTCGGGGTTGTTTACCGCGACAATCCGACAGATCATCACAGTTATAAGGATTGATTGGTGAAGACAATGTGTTGACATGTAACCGTATTCTTGTAAATAAATTGGATATGAACAATATATTCTATATTTAATAGGCTCATGTTAATTATTAGTGATTGAACGCATGTGGAATGTCTAAACATCTAGACAATATATATCAAACAGCGTGAAAGTTAATATAGGAATCTTTATATACAGTTAGGAAGAGCGTTATTTGAAATATCTTAAGGCACATTCCTATTTGAAAAGTCAACAAATAGTTCATGTTTATCAGAAAAACAATTTTTAAAGTACAATATTTGACAAGACTTCATTTTACAAAATATAATTGTTTTAGCTGTCTTACCCAGTGTCGTCTGTCTTTTATTACCAACAATGTAAAATTATAAAATTATATCTGTCCATCGTAGCTCGACAACCTTAATGGTACTGGTTAAATACATTGAACACGACTTTCAATCAAATGTTATATACTAGTATGTATTTCTTTTATTTACAGGGCAATGATGAAGAGAAGAAAGCAAACCATTTTAAGCATATGTACTTCATAAGTAACTATAGATACATATGTGTACATGGTATTAAATGGGTAATACGAGTATTATATTGGAAAATGCATTTACTTGTATAATTATAATCGCGCTGTTCTGGTATATTAAGAGAAGAGTACATCGTATTCTAGACTATCCATACACTGGGTAAATGCGGTCAGATTTCCCCAGTTACCTTTAAGTACACCTGTAGTATTTTATCCACAGTTTATCAATGGGGCTCTGCTGATTCTTCCCGTGATAGGCATGATCATTTTCATACCGTTATTGTTCTACTGATTATATAAGACACGAGATATCGGGGTATGCAAGCATTGTTGTAGAGTAAACACCTGTCAAACAGAACTGACAGGTGCACATCTATTTGTTCGGTTTGTTCTCCTTTCTCCCACTTTTTTCTGATCAAAGGAACTATATAAACATTGGAAAACAATAGAGGTGTCATTATAGTCTGTTCTGGTATAGTACAGGTAGATTATTTACCTGTATTTACCTGTTCACCAATAGGAAATACTGTGTTAGTTATAGGAATATTTAACAAATATATATCCTGATTTTTGTAATATATACTGGAATTATGAATAAATATATACAAGATTCCAGTTATTACTTAATAAAAACACATCAAAATACATTAATTGAAAACCAGCTTTTATTAATTTTATATTAAATCAATTTTATACATTTTTATCATACATTTACATGTATGTTATATATATATATTTCATAAAATATAACTAAATTTAGCAAGCAATTTATGACAAATGTAATCAGTATAGACAGTTACAGTAGCGTTTTGCTCTTGGTCTGAGTTAGTCCTCCTGCTGCGTGTTGGATGCACGTTATCTCGTTGCTGGCTTGTATTTCCTGGAAGACGCGGATGCNTGTACTACCGACTGTAGATTGTGTCTTGTCCTGTAGATATTTTATGGAAGTGTTGTACTACCGACTGTAGATTGTGTCTTGTCATGAAGATATTTTATGGAAGTGTTGTACTACCGACTGTAGATTGTGTCTTGTCATGTAGATATTTGATGGAAGTGCTGTACTAGCGACTGTAGATTGTGTCTTGTCCTGTAGATATTTGATGGAAGTGCTGTACTAGCGACTGTAGATTGTGTCTTGTCCTGTGGATATTTGATGGAAGTGCTGTACTACCGACTGTAGATTGTGTCTTGTCCTGTACATATTTTATGGAAGTGTTGTACTAGCGACTGTAGATTGTGTCTTGTCCTGTATATATTTGATGGAAGTGCTGTACTACCGACTGTACATTGTGTCTTGTCCTGTACATATTTTATTGAAGTGTTGTACTACCGACTGTAGTTTGTGTCTTGTCCTGTAGATATTTGATGGAAGTGTTGTACTACCGACTGTAGATTGTGTATTGTCCTGTAGATATTTTATGGAAGTGTTGTACTTGAAATTGGGTTTCTGATTCATATTTATGACAGTCGTGTTAATTTAGTCTTTGACGCAGTTTTTTTTTATTTCAACATATTCTATTTGTCATTTAAAAAAAATGTAATCATTAAAGTTATCTCAATTAAGAAACGCCTTTTGCATTACGCTTCATCATACAAATTACATGACAACAATAACAAATATATCATCAAAAATGTCGATATGAATGAAGAGGAAAGGAGGGAGGAAGAAAAAGAGAATTTGAGAAAGAGATGATTCGATACCAGCAGTCAATTTGTATAATTATATACTGGTTTTGTATAATTATATACTAGTGACCTTAATATCTTTTAATATGTAAGGTAGGTTTGAACAGGAGATATCGTATATACAGCATACAATGAAAATACATGTACTGCATTTTCACATTCATTTCCACATGCACACATCGGATCAGTTATTCACTCTGTACCAATCATACTTTAAACTACTGCATAAATGACGCAACCTTGTATGAAAAACATTCAACTTACGATTTCCAACATAGAAAACAAGGCAACAATTGGTTTTGGTTACGCTGAGTTAATAATTTACAACTATTAATGGATGTTAGCTGTTCTCTGACAGTGTTTTGTAAATCGTTTCATCGTCTTACAGAAGAAGGGATACAGGATTGGAATCAATGAACTATACAATCGGAAATAAGGAAGAGTATGGTTTTCACTATTTCATTATTTTGTGTTCGCCTACTTTAGGAGGTAGACGGTTACTTAAATAATAATGTGATTGTTTATGGTGGGGTTTATACATTAGGGAAAGTGTTTTTTTATGATTTCCTTTTCCAGATTGCGGTTCAAGATGGGATTTTTTTTATATAAGGATTGTTTACTAGAAAAAGAGGACAGGCCAATAATTCTTGCTGCTTCAAGGTGAACTCGTTCAAGTTTAGTTAGATCTGCCAGAGAACAACCATCCCAAACTTCGCAGGCATATTCCAACACAGGCAACACAAATACTTTACATATTCTTAACAAAGTTTTCCTACTTAACAAACATTCAAACTTTCGTAGCACTGATACCTTTTTCATGCATGATTTTTTAATATCGGCAATATGGAAAGACCATTTTACATCTGCACTAAATTTTACGCCTAAATATTTATGAAGTTGTAGAGGTATGTGTAGTATATTTCCTGAATTAGATGTGAACAACATCAGCCTTCTGTGGGTCAAATTTATTAAGCCAATCCTGTGATAATTTATCAAGTTTTTCCAAATCTCCGTTGACATACATTAATGAGGTATCATCAGTAAAGAAACATAAGATACTACTTAAATTATCAACAATATCATTTATATATATATGTAAATATTAAAAATATCACACTTCCTTGTGGAACACCAGCTTTTGTGCGACCTATATAAGAATACACAAATTAAACGAGAACATGCTGTTGTTATCTAAAATGTATGTTTGGACCAATTTATAATCAGTAAGCCATCGATATATACCATAAGCATGCAATTTTTGTTATAAACCTTATGCCACATTCAGCTAAAAGCCTTCGATACATAAGTATTAGACAAGTATGTTTGTCTCTTCTAGTGAACAACATATATTATGGTATATTTCTATTAACTGGTGAACAGTGGAATGACAATTCATAAAACCAGATTGCTTTTCGGAAAACAAGGAATGATAAAGGACAAAAAACGTAGACAAGCAGAGAGACAGTGGCGACGGACCAAATTAACCGTTCACAAAATGATTTATAGAGAGCAATGTCGGCTAGTTGGTTCACTGCTCTTTCAGTCAAAGAAGGCTTATTATTCGGAAAAAATCGAAGGATGTGGCAAGGATAAAAGACATCTTTTTAGACTCACCAAAAAACTAATGGGACAGAAAGGTGAAATTATCCTACCAAGCTGTAATTCTGAAAAAGACCTAGCAAGCAAGTTCAGTGATTACTTTCTGAATAAAATCAGCTCAATCAGGAAAAATATTACCGAAGTGAACACCTCTGCTGGCATTGACATCTCTTTCATGACTGCTGACATTGCATTTGATGGGGAACCATTGACAAAGCTCTCACCAACAACCCAGGACGAATTGCGCAACATTATCATGACCTCGCAATCGAAGTCCTGTGAGCTTGATCCACTGCCTACAGACCTATTAAAGCAATGTCTTGAAGCACTGCTTCCTTTGATTACCGCAATCATGAATAAATCATTGGTTGAGTCAAAGGTTCCATTATGTTTCAAGAAGGCACATGTCAGACCATTGTTAAAAAAGCCTGGAATGGACAAGGAGGAGTTGAAAACCTACCGCCCAGTTTTAAATCTGCCTTTTCTGTCTAAGATCTTGGAGAAGGTTGTGTCCCGGCGTTTAGAGGTTCATCTCCATGCAAACAGTATCCATGACAACATGCAATCGGCCTACCGGACGGGACACTCTACTGAGACGGCCCTCCTACGTGTACATAGTGATATAGCTTCTGCATTGGATAACAAGTGCAGAGCGGTGCTTGTCATGCTGGACTTGTCAGCTGCATTTGACGTCATCGACCATGGCATACTTTATAAACGTCTGGAATACTCTTATGGAGTGACTGATACCGCACTATGCTGGATACAGTCATACCTGAGTGAACGACGACAGTGTGTTGCCATCGGATCTGCCACCTCACATGACAAAGTACTAGATTTCGGGGTTCCTCAAGGGTCGGTGTTAGGACCACGAAAATATTGTATGTACTCCAAACCGATTGGAGAGATTTGTCGTCGCCATAGCCTTCGCTATCATTGCTATGCTGATGACACACAAATTTACATGGTCATAAAACCACAGGACAGTTGGAATACAGTCTCAGAAAGTCTGGAAGCTTGTCTGACAGATATCAGTATCTGGATGAACGCCAACATGCTTAAACTTAATCAGGAAAAGACGGAACTAATCGTCTTTTCCCCAAAGTGTCAGCAAACAATGGCTCTCCAGCTCAAGGTTGGTGCCAGAACTATTGAGACTGTTCCAGCTGTTAAAAACCTAGGGGTATACTTTGACAGTTCTCTGAACATGGAGAAACAAGTGAACGCGATTGCCAAATCCTGTTACAACCAGATCAGGAACATCGGCTGTATTCGGCAGTTTCTAACTGCAGATGCATGCAAGATTTTGGTGCATTCACTTGTTACCTCTCGGTTGGATTATGGTAACGCCCTGCTCTGTGGTATATCTGACAAACTAACTAGTCGTCTGCAGAGGGTTCAGAACACTGCAGCACGGCTAGTTACTCGTACTCGAAAGAGAGAGCACATCACACCTGCGCTTTATTCGTTGCACTGGTTACCTGTACGATACAGGTCGCAGTACAAAATTCTGGTATACACATACAAGGCACTGAATGGAACAGCTCCTCAGTACCTACAGGAACTTGTTACCCTGTATCAGCCGTCAAGATCACTGCGGTCGGAGTCAGAATCTTTGTTGTGTGTCCCAAAATCTCGTACTGTGACCTACGGAAACAGATGCTTTGGGAGGGTTTCGGCTACGTTGTGGAATAGCTTACCATCTGCTATTAGGAAGTCGAATACCCTGGCCAAGTTCAAGAGGGACATAAAAACTCACCTCTTCACGTCTGCATTTTAGAATCTTTGCAAAGACGTCATGTAAATACCACCCTTTTATTTGTTCAATTATGTGCACATTGCTTGTTAAATGTATGAAAGTGATTGCAAGCCTTTGTTGTTTGTTTTCACAATTATAACCATTACTATTATCCATATGTTGTAAAGCGCCTTAGAGTAATTTTACAAGTTATATAGGGCGCTATATAAATGCTGTATATTATTATTATTATTATTAAAAATCATAGATATATTTTTAATACATCTATTTTAAATTATTTAACCTACAGAAGACAACAAAATAATTGGTCGATAATTTGACAGCATGTGTCTATCATCACTTTTAAACAAAAGTAAAACAATACCATTTTTCCATATTTCAGGGAATTAGAATTTAGTGACATGTTGAAAAGAATAGCCAATAGTTTACATTTAGAACTTGCTGTAAAATGTAACGCATGATCACTTCACAGTCAATAGAATTGAAAAGCTCTCTCTCTCTCTCTCTCTCTCTCTCTCTCTCTCTCTCTCTCTCATTGTAAGTTTGAAAGATAAGTAAACACAAATTAATTATTGATGCAAATAACTCTTACAAAATAATACATCACATTCAAATATGACAAATATTTAGCAGGGTACCACACTACCTATATTTTTTATCACATGGAAATATTTCATATTTGTTTTACATTAAACTATTTAATGCTAAACGACATTTAATCTGCGTAAAGAGAATTGCATTCCATATATATCCTTTCGTTTCTGTTCTCTACGTTTATCGGGTTTTTTCTTTCTTTTATCTTGGAAGTACTTTTATTCTGAAATAGTGTGGCAAGATAAACATGAAGAATCTCTTTGATGAGATGTAAGTGCTAATGACGTGTTGTTGAGATTTTTTTTTTTTTTTTTTTATAATATACATGTATGCATATGTACCGACTTCATGTTAAAGTAAGATATGACAGTGTATCAGTAAAGTACGGATATATAGACAGATAAATATTTTTTTATGAAAAATATACCATGATAAATATCCACGGGCCGTATTCACGGAAATGTGTTCATGCCTAAAGCCAGATTCTATGCTTAAGCCATTTATCTTGTTCCAGTGATAGATGAACAAAATAATATTTTGTCAATATTTTTTGGAAGAATTATGAAGTCTTCAAGCCGAACATCATTTCAATGTTAACATTTGATTTTTTGAGCTTGTCACATTATTTAATCAAGTAACAGTTAGTTTGAGCACAGAATCCAAGATTAAGCATGAGAACGGTGTCTCACTTCAATGTATGACATTTCATACGTTTTTACGAATCTATGACATGTTTACAACAACGGTTACAAAAATATAGCATGAACACAAAAATCAATTTTAGGATATTTTAATGTTTACATGATTGTTACTACACAGCATACGCAAAAGCAAAACTGACCAGTACAAAATGAACAGAACTTTGCATGTTGGTAATTCAATTGAAACATGTTTGCAACTGACCAATCGAATAAAAAACGAATATTTATATATTTGACCACTGCTGGACAACAACACTGTTCAAATGTTCTTCACTAACAATCTACATCCACAAACCAACACCTGGACATTTTAATTGAAATAAGAAACAATATAATTAGACTGTATCACTGGTCAAAAAACATTCCTGTTGGAACTAATCATGACAAAAACCCTAAGACAGCCAAATCGAGGCTGTGACGTCAATCCTCAAACTTCTATTCCATCACCGACTGCCTTCCACATTCTTCCCTTTGAACGACGCAACGACTCTGCAATGAAATAAATAGATAAAATAAATTACAAAATTTCATATTAACTTAATGCACAATCTGTCCGTTCTCCAATGCAAAACAAAAATTGTGATGTATTGTAGTATGAACATAAAGGGAAATTAATTTAAAATATTTGTATTGAATTGATTAATAAAAATCAAAAAAATATATCCTTATGTTTTTATTTTGAGGAGGAGCGTCCTAGCGAGGAAAGGTAACCTACCTATAGTGAGGAATGAGTACCTAGTGACGAAAAGGTAACCTATCTATAGTGAGGAATGAGTACCTAGTGAGGAAAAGGTAACCTACCTATTGTGAGGAATGAGTACCTAGTGAGGAAAAGGTAACGTGAGGAATGAGTACCTAGTGAGGAAAAGGTAACCTACCAATAGTGAGGAATGAGTACCTAGTGAGGAAAAGCTATCTATAGTGAGGAATGAGTACCTAGTGAGGAAAAGCTATCTATAGTGAGGAATGAGTACCTAGTGACGAAAAGGTAACCTATCTATAGTGATGAATGAGTACCTAGTGAGGAAAAGGTAACCTCCCTATAGTGAGGAATAAGTACCTAGTGAGGAAAAGGTAACGTACCTATTGTGAGGAATGAGTACCTAGTGAGGAAAAGGTAACCTCCCTATTGTGAGGAATGAATACCTAGTGAGGAAAAGGTAACCTCCCTATTGTGAGGAATGAATACCTAGTGAGGAAAAGGTAACCTACCAATAGTGAGGAATGAGTACCTAGTGAGGAAAAGGTAGCCTACCTATAGTGAGAAATAAGTACCTATGGAGGAAAAGGTAACCTACCTATAGTGAGAAATAAGTACTACAAAATTTCATATTAACTTAATGCACAATCTGTCCGTTCTCCAATGCAAAACAAAAATTGTGATGTATTGTAGTATGAACATAAAGGGTAATTAATTTAAAATATTTGTATTGAATTGATTAATAAAAATCAAAAAAATATATCCTTATGTTTTTATTTTGAGGAGGAGCGTCCTAGCGAGGAAAGGTAACCTACCTATAGTGAGTAATGAGTACCTAGTGACGAAAAGGTAACCTATCTATAGTGATGAATGAGTACCTAGTGAGGAAAAGGTAACCTCCCTATTGTGAGGAATGAATACCTAGTGAGGAAAAGGTAACCTCCCTATTGTGAGGAATGAATACCTAGTGAGGAAAAGGTAACCTCCCTATTGTGAGGAATGAATACCTAGTGAGGAAAAGGTAACCTCCCTATTGTGAGGAATGAGTACCTAGTGAGGAAAAGGTAACGTGAGGAATGAGTACCTAGTGAGGAAAAGGTAACGTACCTCTAGTGAGGAATGAGTACCTAGTGAGGAAAAGGTAACGTGAGGAATGAGTACCTAGTGAGGAAAAGGTAACCTCCCTATTGTGAGGAATGAATACCTAGTGAGGAAAAGGTAACCTACCAATAGTGAGGAATGAGTACCTAGCGAGGAAAAGGTAACGTACCTATAGTGAGGAATGAGTACCTAGTGAGGAAAAGGTAACGTGAGGAATGAGTACCTAGTGAGGAAAAGGTAACCTCCCTATTGTGAGGAATGAGTACCTAGTGAGGAAAAGGTAACGTGAGGAATGAGTACCTAGTGAGGAAAAGGTAACGTGAGGAATGAGTACCTAGTGAGGAAAAGGTAACGTGAGGAATGAGTACCTAGTGAGGAAAAGGTAACGTGAGGAATGAGTACCTAGTGAGGAAAAGGTAACGTGAGGAATGAGTACCTAGTGAGGAAAAGGTAACGTACCTATTGTGAGGAATGAGTACCTAGTGAGGAAAAGGGAACGTACCTATAGTGAGGAATGAGTACCTAGTGAGGAAAAGGTAACCTCCCTATTGTGAGGAATGAATACCTAGTGAGGAAAAGGTAACCTACCTATAGTGAGGAATGAGTACCTAGTGAGGAAAAGGTAACCTACCTATAGTGAGGAATGAGTACCTAGTGAGGAAAAGGTAACCTACCTATAGTGAGGAATGAGTACCTAGTGAGGAAAAGGTAACCTACCTATAGTGAGGAATGAGTACCTAGTGAGGAAAAGGTAACCTACCTATAGTGAGGAATGAGTACCTAGTGAGGAAAAGGTAACCTACCTATAGTGAGGAATGAGTACCTAGTGAGGAAAAGGTAACCTACCTATAGTGAGGAATGAGTACCTAGTGAGGAAAAGGTAACCTACCTATAGTGAGGAATGAGTACCTAGTGAGGAAAAGGTAACCTACCTATAGTGAGGAATGAGTACCTAGTGAGGAAAAGGTAACCTACCTATAGTGAGGAATGAGTACCTAGTGAGGAAAAGGTAACCTACCTATAGTGAGGAATGAGTACCTAGTGAGGAAAAGGTAACCTACCTATAGTGAGGAATGAGTACCTAGTGAGGAAAAGGTAACCTACCTATAGTGAGGAATGAGTACCTAGTGAGGAAAAGGTAACGTACCTATAGTGAGGAATGAGTACCAAGTGAGGAAAAGGTAACGTACCTATAGTGAGGAATGAGTACCTATGGAGGAAAAGGTATCCTACCTATAGTGAGGAATGAGTACCTAGTGAGGAAAAGGTAACGTACCTATTGTGAGGAATGAGTACCTAGTGAGGAAAAGGTAACCTATCTATAGTGAGGAATGAGTACCTAGTGAGGAAAAGGTAACGTACCTATTGTGAGGAATGAGTACCTAGTGAGGAAAAGGTAACGTACCTATAGTGAGGAATGAGTACCAAGTGAGGAAAAGGTAACGTACCTATAGTGAGGAATAAGTACCTAGTGAGGAAAAGGTAACGTACCTATAGTGAGGAATAAGTACCTAGTGAGGAAAAGGTAACGTACCTATTGTGAGGAATGAGTGCCTAGTGAGGAAAAGGTAACCTACCTATAGTGAGGAATGAGTACCTAATGAGGAAAAGGTAACGTACCTATTGTGAGGAATGAGTACCTAGTGAGGAAAAGGTAACCTACCTATAGTGAGGAATGAGTACCTAGTGAGGAAAAGGTAACCTATCTATAGTGAGGAATGAGTACCTAGTGAGGAACATAATACCAACCTAGCAAGGACATTTTACCTGAGAGGGATATAGTACCAACCGAGTGAGGGACATAGTACCAACCGAGTGAGGGACATAGTACTTATAGAGAGGAAGAGTATACCTACCTAGCAAAGGACATAGCACCTAGTGAGTGGCAGTGTTCCTAGCGAGGGACAGCACCAATCTAGCAAGGAACATGGTACCTAGAGAGAAAGAGTACTGTACCTAGCAGGGGACATAAGAGCTAGTGATTGACAGTGTTCCTAGCGAGGGACAAATTACATAGGGAGGGATGCAGTACCAACTTAGCAAGAGACGGAGTACCAAGATAAGGATATACTATCAACTTAGCAAGGGACAGAGTACCTAGATAAGGATATAATATCAACTTAGCAAGGGACAGAGTACCTAGATAAGGATATAACACCAACTAAGCAAGGGACATATAGTACCTGTTGAGGGACAGAGTACATACCTAGCGAGGGACAGGGTACCAGTAGTTGATCTGACGCTGGATGCACAATGGGAACAGCACCATATGCTCCTCCTCAAAATGCTGGACGAACTTCTTTTTCCAGTACAGGTCATTCCATGGCAGCTCTTTGGTAAGTATCACGGACAACTCTAGTCCATAGTAAAACAACATCATGGCGTTTGACCTTTTTGCGAAATTCGCCTTGTCTTTCTTACAAGATCCGGTGGGCTTCCACAAGGTTCTCCTTTTAACCTGACACGGGGCAGTACCGCAGTGACGACAGATGGAAGGACCTGCACAAACAAATATTTTTGTTACTACAAATTTCCGAAATCCAAGGTTTACGTTTTCGACACACAAAAAAATACTTTCTATGCATCCTGAGATTTTATCAGAACGGAATCGGGGACTGACAGTTCGCTTTCTGACTGGTTCCAGACACCCAGGTCTAATCAAGTACAAGGCTGCTAGAAAGTGGTACCCGTACTTCAAAGATTATCAAAGAGCTACTTTGAAATTAAAGCCTATTAATTTCACCATTACACTGTACGTTACCAAACAGTTCGCTGAAATATTTAATCAAAACATTGGTCTGTGAACACAGGTAAACATGATACTGAAATGGTGTCCAAGCTAGCAAACGTGTATCATCCGGACGGTGGCGCGTTAAGGTAGTTTTACAACACTAGGTTCTTAGAAAGGTACATTAATTTCGAAAACATCTTAACTAAAACGTGAACAAAACACTTGATCTAGAAACTGCTGCTTTATTCAATAATTTAACTTTCGCTGGTTACTTACGAGCTCTCCATTCTTGGAACATTGACACGGCGGCTGACCATTTCTCTTTGACGACCTTTCCGATCGACGGCGCATAGCCCAACAGCAGAGTTAGGAGCACACACAGCAGATTACAGAACACCTCATTCCCAACTCGCTAAAAAAGTCAAATCATGATTGTTTTCTGGAAATTGGACTATAAAACAATCATTCAATGTTCCAGACCCGCAAATTCCTAAGATACCGACACCGGAAAAGAAAACCGTTTTTGCGCCAACTTGACGCAATTAAAGCATAGCCGGCGGGTGATAAATATTGCGAAATACACACAGCTTAATCATATCAAACATATTTTATTGTAAATTGTATACAATGTGAGTTGGGTACAAGTTTAACAACTTATATTTAGCCATTTCCCTACAACATAGTAATACAATTTTTCAAGATGTCATATAACAAATATATTTACCTTAGCTTTAATTGAAAGAGAGAGAGAGAGAGCTAGATTAGGATTAGTTGGTAAACATGAAGGAGTGCAAGAAAATATACTCAAAATCTGTTAGTATCTAGAATAAATTGCTGCGTAGGTTTGGCTATTAGGATGTTTTCTTGGTAAGACAATTCATTATTACCGTAAAGTAGTGGCTGCAAGTCAAATAGAATGAAATCATTTGATTCGCGGTCGAGTTTAAAAGAATGTTCACATTGACAGTGCTGAAAACCTCTATAATAGGTGTAATAACTTTGTGAGAAGAACCAGATAAGCATCATCTCAAACATAATCTTACTTAATTATTAGTAAAAAAAATGTTGACATCTTCATAACAGTCAATAAAATAACAAATTTGTAATCCTTACCGATATCAGATCGGCAACCGTTGGACAGACTTTCTCAATTTCTCCAGCGTTGAAATAATAAAACAATCTTTTGGCATATCCTGACTTCGGCTCCACGCTACAGATGTAAAATTACAAACTTCAAATGAACTATTTCTAAACATTCAATGTCAACACATTCGTAATCTTGATTACTGTAAGTTATTGACATTTATTTGAGCGGCGTGAGGTCTTTGCGTAATGTCAAGTCAAAGAATAACATCTAAGATCTCATCCTACCTTGTTTGGTCCAAACTTACCACGTAAAGGTCCCGATATACAGCAGGCCCTTTGTGCATGGCGCACATCATTACCACAAATATCAAGAATAACTTGATATCCATTGTGGTAATCGAAGATTCAATCAAAAGAAGTGAATATCAGGGAAGAGACTGATCATCTCCGCCTTCGCCGATTGCTAAGCAGCTTAGCAACAGGTATGTGACGTCACAAGTGGGTATCTCTATTTTACCGATCATGACGTCATGTTATTGTCTTTTATATAAAAAGTGCAAGCGGCTACACGTTGGTGACAGCGTGTATGGTACCAAAATGACTTCTGTTATGAGTCGAACCCTGGACAAGCGGCACTGTGTGATTCTAGTAGGAGTCGAATTCGGGACTAATAGCGACAGGATATGTTTACCTTAGAATTCCACTAAAATTCGCAAGCGACACTTTGATCCGTAAAACCGTTCTCATGCTCTAGCGTGGACTATGTGCTCAAACCAGTTTTCCTGTAACTCACTTAAATCATGTCAAACGATCAAAAAGTCAAATGTAAACATTGGACACAGTATACGGCCTTCATTTTTTTCCAAATCATTAACATTTTTTTTTATTAATTTATCTATAACTGAACCGGAACAAAAAATTAGGCTTGAGCAAAAAAATACGCTTGAGCATGAGAACGGTTCCATAACTACGGGCCCACGGTATGCGTTTCCGTCAGACTGAAGACACAACGAAAATAGAGTACATGAAATTCTGCGATGTAGCCGGGATCAAATATGTTATTCCTGAAATATTGTTCTATTTGGACAAGCGAATCAGGTCTTGCGCAGTGTGTCGAAGTGTCGAACCCATGTGCAGATTGAAATTAAAACAGCAGCACATTTGAGTTTCACAAAATATATATATGCAGTTATTCCCCTTTGACCTGGTCGGCGGTGACGAAATGCAATCCAGCAAATTTCTTTTCGTACCAAGCTGCATTGTACGTGCCAAAAAACGGGAATTTCTTGACGAGATCCCATCAGTTGTGGTGTTCAAGTGGCAATTTACACCATATTTCGATTTGAACCGGTTGAAAGTGGATTTCATTGTGCTTAGCACGTATACAAAATCGCCCGTCCTTCTTTCGGCAGAACTGATAAACCATTTTAGGGTTCCCATTGCGTTTTTGATTCCATTCCAACCGCTACTAGACTCATGTAATGTACAGAGCAAACGGAATGCATATGAAACATTTAATCTTTACATATAATCTCTCTCTCTCTCTCTCTCTCTCTCTCTCTCTCTCTCTCTATCTCTCTCTCTCTCTCTCTCTGTCTCTCTCTCTCTCTCTCTCTCTATCTCTCTCTCTCTCTCTCTCTCTCTCCCTCTCTCTCTCTCTCTCTCTCCCTCTCTCTCTCTCTCTCTCTCTCTCCCTCTCTCTCTCTCTCTCTCCCTCTCTCTCTCCCCCGCAGACGGTCCATTATGAGGAATTAGTTATACACCCGACTTGTTGGGAAACCACTTTAGCAAGTCCGAATTAACTCGAAATTGCTCGGATTCCATTGCAAAATCAATCCTGTAAGCAAACACTTCTTCCATAAAACCATACTTCTAGATATCTACTCGTAAATTACAAAATGGGGATATGGGAAACAAGCTATATCACAGTATTTTATGGGGATATATTTCGGAACCCCTCTCCAGAATCTCATTCAATATGTGGAGAGTCCCCATAAATGACTTTCTCAGAATAGACAGTGAATAAATAATAATAATCCCTAGCTCGAAATGTCGCTACACTTCCGCACAGATTAGAGTAAGAAATGGTATACGGGGAATATCCACAATGTTACTACTCTATCTCAAAGATTAGACGGTATTTTTTTTATAGAGAATTCTTACGATATTGCTACACTTTCTCGGAAAAATTACTCATGTGGTTTTTAGGGAACCCCCATAATTGTACTACACTTTCTCCCAGAATGAATAGTGATATGGGTAATGAGGTATCCCAAAATGCTGATACACTTCCGCACATTAGAGTTACATGTATATGGTATTGTCTATAGGGAATCCCCACAAGGTCGCTACACTTTCTCACAGATTGGATAGTGATATAGTCTATAGCGCATCCCCGTAATTGCTGCTACACTACCGCACAGATAAGAGATATTGTTTATAGGGAATCCCCACAAGGTCGCTACACTTTCTCACATATTGGATAGTGATATAGTTTATAGGGAATCCCCACAATGCTGCTACACTACCGCAATGATAAGAGATATTGTTTATAGGGAATCCCCACAAGGTCGCTACACTTTCTCACATATTGGATAGTGATATAGTTTATAGGGAATCCCCGTAATTGCTGCTACACTACCGCAATGATAAGAGAGATATTGTTTATATGGAATCCCCACAAGGTCGCTGAACTTTCTCACAGATTGGACAGTGATATGGTTTATAGGGAATCTACATAATGCTGCTACGCTACCGCACAGATAAGAGATATTGTTTATAAGGAATCCCCACAAGGTCGCTACACTTTCTCACATATTGGATAGTGATAAGATTTATAGGGAATCCCCACAATGCTGCTACACTACCGCAATGATAAGAGATATTGTTTATAGGGAATCCCCACAAGGTCGCTAAACACTCTCACAGATTGGATAGTGATATGGTTTATAGGGAATCTACATAATGCTGCTACACTACCGCACAGATAAGAGAGATGTTGTTTTAAGAAATCCTCACAAGGTCGCTGAACTTTCTCACAGATTGGATATTGATATGGTTATAGGGAATCCCCATAATGCTGCTACACTACCGCACAGATAAAAGAGATGTTGTTTATAGGGAATCCCCACAAGATCGCTAAACATTCTCACAGATTATATAGTGATATGGTTTATAGGGAATCCCCATAATTGCTGCTACACTACTGCACAGATAAGAGATATATTGTTTATGGAGAATCCCCACAAGGTCGCTACACTTTCTCACATATTGGATAGTGATAAGATTTATAGGGAATCCCCACAATGTCTCTAAACTTTCCCACAGATTGGATAGTGATATAGTGTATAGGGAATCCCCATTAGGTCGCTGAACTTTCTCACAGATTGGACAGTGATATGGTTTATAGGGAATCCCAGATAAGAGATATATTGTTTATGGGGAATCCCCACAAGGTCGCTACACTTTCTCACATATTGGATAGTGATAAGATTTATAGGGAATCCCCACAATGTCTCTAAACTTTCCCAAAGATTGGATAGTGATATAGTGTATAGGGAATCCCCATTAGGTCGCTGAACTTTCTCACAGATTGGACAGTGATATGGTTTATA